AGTAGAGGGGGACAATCACCTCCCTGTCCCTGCTGGCCACCCCTCTTTTCTTGGAGCCCAGGATACCATTTGCCTTCTGAGCTGCAAGGGCATCTTGCTGGCTCGTGTTAAGACCTGTCCTCATGTTAAACCTGTCCTTATATCTCCACCCTTCCTAACTAAGCCATATTCAATCAAGTACCATTTTCCTCATACTACTTGTCACAGCCTTTCATGTTGACTGAAGGCTCGTTGATAAGGACTCCTCTCCCTGCTGAGCTGTGTGTGTGAATGGCTCAACTGCCTGCTGTGAATGATAAGGAACGATGGCCTTGAATGACTTCTCATCCTTTCTTTGAAACAGAGTTTGGTGAGCTGGGAAGTGAGGCAGCAGAAAAAGAGCCCTTAGCAGGAGCTGAAGGATCTCTGAAGTGGAAATCAGGACTTCCTTCGTTCAAATTACCAAGCCTCATGCCAAAAGAGAAAGGTATTGCTGGTGCATAAGCAGTGTGGTGTGCATGGAACCGAACACAGCCTCATTGCCTTCGTGCCATGAACGTCTCTGAAAAGCCACGGTCAGAGGAATGCCAGGGCATGAACAAAATGTTTACTCTGATTTAAAATGTTTTACAATCTTCTTCTCACACTTGTTCACCACGTAGCGCTCCTGGCCGTTCTGCATCAATGTTTGTCTCTTCTTGGCAGCACCTTCGTTTGTTGAGGAGCTCCTGGACCAGGCAGCTGCTGCAGGACAGTGCGTGACGCTGTCCTGCCGGACGACCCCGCACTCCTCCCTGCACATCCGCTGGTTCAGAGGTGAGCTTGCAGCCCTCCGCAGGTCCCTCCAGGACAAGGGTGGCTTAGGCACCTCTACATTGCCAAGGTACTTATTTCTCATATGTTCCACCTTGCAGATGGGATGCCAGTCCACAGCAGCAGTCGGATCCTCATCTCGTCTACACTCAAGCACTTCCAGCTGTTAACTATTCTCTCTGTCAGTGCTGAGGATTTTGGCATTTACACCTGTGTGGCTACCAGCTCCCTGGGCTCAGCATCCACCTCCTGCGTTGTAAGGAAAGCAGGTAACAAAAGGATCTACATTTTTATACTGCAAGCGCTGATTTTGAAGCATAGAATCATAGAATGGCCTGGGTTGCAAAGGAACACAATGCTCATCCAGTTCCAACCCCCTACTGTGTGCAGGTCGCCAACCAGCAGCCCAGGCTGCCCAGAGCCACATCCAGCCTGGCCTTGAATGCCTGCAGGGATGGGGCATCCACAGCCTCCTTGGGCAACCTGTTCCAGTGCCTCACCATCCTCTGGCTGAAAAACTTCCTCCTCAGATCCAACCTAAACCTCCCCTGTCTCACTTTAAAACCATTCCCCCTTGAAATTGAAGGCAGACCCAAGTGTAGGGATGGCAGTTCTTCTGCCACCAAGAAAATGTGACCTGTAAAGCATCTGCAAGGTGAGATTCCTGCAGAAACATTCAGGGGAAGGTTTCTCCCTTGCCTGCTGTAGTCCACAACCCTTGCTAGCTGGTAGCGTGGCACATTTTGCAGTTCTGATTTGCAGAATCATGGAATGGTTGGATTGGAAGGGACCTCAAAGGCCATTCAGCCATGGGCTGGGTGACCCCACCAGGTCAGGCTGCCCAGGACCCCTTGGGCACCTCCAGGGATGGGGCACCCACAGCTTCTGATTCCCTCTTCTACATTCTTTAACTTTTCTCCTGGGTTCAAAACTCAGCTAGTAAACACAGACATAACATCAGACTTCAAAACCTTAATATTTATTTTAAACAAGGCACAGTTAAATTTTTGTTCCATGAGGAATGGTCACATCCATAAATACAGATGCGTATACATTTGAAGTTGAATATCTGCAACACAGAAGAGCTGTTCCTGTGCATAACAAAGCTAACAGTCACTGATTTTTGCCTCGTTTCAACAGAAGTTCCTCCCAGCCCTGCACCCCCTGACGTTGTGGAGGTCTATGAGGATGGAGCACAAGTGGTCTGGAAACCTGTGGAAACCAACACTTGTGTCCGTTACACTGTCCAGTGCAAGAGTAAAGGTAAGTGTGGAATATCCCAAGCTGGAAGAGATCCCTAAAGGATCATCCAGCTCCTACAGCAGGGCTCTGCCTTCACACCTAGCAGAGAACATCCCAATTTGTACGACCTCTCCATATATATATATATGGAGATATTAATTTTATTCAGAAACTGCCTCACTTAACCTCCCTCGTTTGTAGATGGGAGTGAAATAATTGTACACTAATAATGCCCAGCCCAGTGGTTATCAGATAATACCATCATATACCTAGGCTTTCTCTGTATGGAGAAAGATGGCCATCAAAAAGGCAGTTCTCCCCATGCCAAACAGCCACGCTTTCTTTTTCTATCAGTTAAATTCATGGTGAAGAGCCATATGACAGAAGTTTGGTAAACCTGCATGCCATCCCTTCAAGGTTCTCTTCCAAGGCTTGATCCAGAGCACAGTGAAGTCAGTGGATGTTTTCTTGTTTAATTCCATGAACTCTGAGTCAGTTCCCTCTCTGTCTCTCTTGGGATTGGTTCTGCTGCTCTTGTGAATACTGTGACTGACATCATCTCTACTGCAGTCATGTAAACATAAACCTTTGGACTGAGCTGCTCCATGTACCTTCTTTTAACTCTCCCAGTATACATGCACTTCATTCTGGATAACACAAACACAGCTTTTTATTCTGGAGCTGATAACTTTTTTCCTGTACTGCAGCTTTCTTTGTTGTTTAATCCTTTTGACACAACTGCAGGCAATGCTCCAGGGAGGATGTAAGATGCAAGTTGTTCCAGGTGGGAGGAAAAATGGGAAACTGCATCTACTACGTACAGTCACATTCGGTGTGTTTGGCAGGGACGTGTGAAATCCTACTTTCTGAACACAGGAGGATTAAGATAAGCAGAAAAAATAATCTTTGCCTCATTCAGTATTGGATAGTAAGACTTTGCATGCTGCTTCTGCAGATGCTTCTCTGATTCTAAGCTGTATCTCCTCCTTCGTACATGCACGCACACCCTACTCCAACCAGAACCCTGCAAAGTCATTGATACCTTTATATGAAGAGAATTACTGCCTGTGCTAAGATTTGAGGGTGTCTGTCAGTGTGTAGTTGAATGAAAGGATGGGTTTAATCTTGGACAGTTTCAGTAGCAATGACAAAGTGGGACACAGCATCACATGAAACGTTTGCTGCTGATCTTCTATTTCACACCTCAGTCCCAAGACAAACCTACAGTTTCATTTCCCTGAGACACCTCCCATACGTTATAAAAGCAGAGGGAATTTGGCCTCAGTTTCAAGTATTGGGTTAGCTAGAAGGGTGTTTATGAATGGCTGTGCTCTGAAATCCCACCCTCCTTCTTTCAGTTTCAAGACAGGACCAAAGGGATAAAGCAGATAAAGCCAGGGCTTTCTTTAAGCTTTTCAGAGTTCAGAGCTCTTGAGGTCTATTTACACTGGGGACTGGTGGCATGAAGTTTCACCATTCCTTTGAAGCAGTGTTGCCACACCTTGGACTGATCAAACAGAAAAGTGCTGACTTTGGAAGAGGTTTGGTCACATTCACAGCTGGTTGCACCACACACAAAAGCAGCCCATATCAGATCAGTTTTACCTTCACTTAAAGATTCCATTGCTTTTCCATACTGCCAGCACTGTGAGTTAAATGGGAAAAGAAGAAAGATGAAAGCAAAAAACCAACAACCAACCATCGAACCGACCAACAACAAAAACAGACTTGACGTCTGAAGTGAGTCCTAATCTCTTTCTTCTGCCTTTCCTTGGCTCAGATGGGGAGTGGAAAACTCTTGCTGCTGACATCGCTGACTGCTGCTACTATGCCAAAAATCTCTCCAGAGATGTTACCTACTGCTTCAGGATAGCCTGCACCAGCAAGGCAGGAATGGGCCCTTACAGCAGCCCATCTGCCGCAGTGAAAATCAGCGGGAAGGATCAATTGGGTAAGAGCGCTGGGAGAGCGCTGTATTCCTCTGGCATCTAAATAATTGCACTCTTTGTTTCTTCCCTGAATACCCTGTAATATTCTCTTGTTTTTTAAAAGATCCACATTCACATGAAAAAGATATCCTTACAGCAGAAGGTTTTCTTTCAAGGAGCGGAAAGATGGACCAACTGGAATTTCCTCCCAGTGGGGAAGAGTTCTCTGTAAAAATCCGTTCGCAGAGATATTTTTAACCCACTCTAAATCATCTGCTTTCCTTTGGCCTGGGATTCATTAGCAAACATACTTTGCAGTCATTCCACCCAGGCCCCATAGCATCAGATCCCTTCATCTGAACGTGTCCAGCATTCCCAAGCAGACACTTCAATGTGCCTGGGCACGCTGACATCAAGATGTGTTTCACAGAATCACAGAAACACCAAGGTTGGAAAAGACCTACAAGATCTTCCAGTCCAACCGTCCACCCATCACCAATAGCTCCCACTAAACCATGTCCCTCAACACAATGTCCAAACGTTCCTTGAACACCTCCAGGGTCGGTGACTCCACCACCTCCCTGGGCAGCCCATTCCACTGCTTGACCACTCTTTCAGAGTAGTATTTCACAGATCACAGAATCACCCGGGTTGGAAGGGACCCCAAGGATCATGTAGTTCCAACCCCCCTGCCTAGCAGGGCCACCAAACATCCACATTCAGATCAGGTTGCCCAGAACCCCGTCCAACCTGGCCTTAAACACGTCCAAGGACGGGGCATCCACAACCTCCCTGGGCAGCCCGTTCCAGGGCCTAACCACTCTCCTAGTAAAGAACTTCCCCCTAACATCCAACCTAAATCTTCCCTCCTTCAACTTGGATCCACGATCCATTTCCTAACATTTCTCATCCTAGACACATCCTAGACTAAGACACATAGCAGTAAGATACATAGCAGTAAGATACATAGCAGTAAGATACATAGCAGTGTCTTAGTGTACTCTGGTGATTTGCTTTGCTGTTTGATATCGTACTCACAGAATCACAGAGGTCTTTCCCAGCCTTAATGACTCTGAGATCATTAAGTCCAACTGTAAACCTGTCACCACATGCAACCTACACCAATCAGGAGGGGTTCCACCAGGGAATTGCTGGCTGTCCATTCCAGAATCTGCTGCATTCACATCGAACTTTGTGCTGCAAACAGGAGCCAACATGCAGACTTCCATGCAGAAAGCCCCACCGTCACCTTTATTTGTCCATAGGTAGTGCATAGTCCATAGCAGCTCAGAGAAGCTCTGGTTTCCACACAGTTGTTTTCCCATGTAATCATTGCCACTTCTTCTCTGCAGAATTCCCTGCTGCAATGCAGAATTTCCCAACAGCTGAGGAAGAGAGTGAAATAATTGCACCACCCGAACCTTTCCCAACCTACCAGACCTACGCCTTCCAAACAGAGATCAAAAGGTAGGGAATCCAGCTGAGCACTCAACCAGCCAGCAGGAAGTGCTGCACGTGCTGCAGTTTGAAGTGACTGCACAGTTTAGAGACACGGGAGGACGTGCAAAGTGTGACAGTTGCTGCAGTAACTCAACATAGGGGAGGGATGAAAAACACAGCATGGGATCCATATGATCTTGAAATACAGAAGCTCCTGGCTCTTCCAGGAGTAGCAGAGAAGCTTAACTTGCCTTTGTGTTCCTTTGTACCAGGGGGCGGTTCAGCATCGTCCGACAGTGCAGGGAAAAAGTAAGCGGCAAGACTTTAGCTGCTAAAATTATCCCTTACTGGCAAGAGGACAAGCAGAGCGTGCTGCTGGAGTACCAGGTCCTCAGGAAGCTTCATCACACCAACATAGCTCAGCTGAAGGGAGCTTATGTCAGCCCCCGGCACCTGGTGTTGATCCAGGAGATGTGTGTGGGACCAGAACTACTCCACTCTTTGGCATTAAGGTAATCATAAGTGGAGGGAAGGGTTTTCCCATCAGGGCTGGAGTAGGTAGCAAAGCACATGTTGCTTTCACTTGTCAGGCAGGATCAGCTCCCTCCATCTGTCCCAGTGTGCTGTCATGGCATAAGTGCCATTGTACTCTATCTCAGGAAGCCTTGTTTCCCCTCCGTGTTGCTTCTCACAGTGGCAGAAAATGAATCTGCTGGAATCCTCTGATTTAAGGGGGTGGGAATGGTGGGCATCAAATCTGCATTCTGACTTCTGCTTTCTCTGACACACGGCTCTCGCAGCCTGCTGAACCTCTTGCATCTGTTGGACTGATTCACGACAGGGGCAAAAATCTCTGTATAGATGAAGGGACTTTATAGAAGGGAAGGAGATTGACTTTTATGCGGGCAGAAAGTGATAGGACAAGGTGGAATGAATTTAAATTAAAAGAAGGGAGTCATTAGATTAGATATTAGGAGGAGATTTTTTACTCAAAGAGCAGTGAGGTGCTGGCACTGCTGCTCAGAGATCCCATCCCTGGAGGAGCTCGAAGGCAGCTTGGATGGAATGCTGAGCAGCCTGGGCTGGTGGTTGGCAACCCTGCCCATGGCAGGCGGTTGGAAGTAGATGATCCCTGAAGTCTCTTCCAACCCAAGCCATTCTATGATTATATGATTTCTGAAATGATTGGAGTTGTTTCTTGAGAGCCTCAATGGATCATACAGACAGAGGAGGATTATAGCAGGGTTAGGGTTAGGGTTAGGGTTAGGGTTAGGGTTACGGTTAGGGTTAGGGTTAGGGTTAGGGTTAGGGTTAGGGTTAGGGTTA